CAAGGGATCGTAAACACAATTGATCATGCTCAGGGATGTTGAAGCTCGATTGTTATAATTTATAAGTGGCCATTCTAATAAGTAATAACAAAGAATTAAATGATTTTTCAAATCCCAGAAGTATGATTAGTTGCACTAGTATTGAAATGTTGTTTGCAGTATCTACTTATGCAGAAATCATGGTGTTCGCTCTTTTTCGATATACCCTGTAGTTCTGTAGTTTATAATTTAATATCAGATGTCAACAGAAAGCCCACACATTTTCAGATAGCGTTACTTGGTTAACTGATACCATGGTATAAATATATATATATATATATATAATTATATATATATATATATTTGTACGTTTTTGCTCTCATTTGAGACATGTGTTCACTTGTGGATATTTATGTAAGGTGTATTTGTTCTTCTGCACAAGTATGACCAACCGGGCAAGCAGAAAATTCTACTTGACCGCGGTGGGAATCGAACCCGCGACCTTCGCATTTCTAGAACGATGCTCTACCGTCTGAGCTCTACCGCCTGAGCTCTACCAACTTGGCCTTGTAGCTCAGACGGTAGAGCATCGTTCTAGAAATGCGAAGGTCGCGGGTTCGATTCCCACCGCGGTCAAGTAGAATTTTCTGCTTGCCCGGTTGGTCATACTTGTGCAGAAGAACAAATACACCTTACATATATATATATATACCTCACCAGCTCACTCATTACGAGTGCCTAATTGTAGGTTTGAAACACGTAGTTAGATATCGACATGGTGCCATTTCCATGGTGACGTAATGCATACAGTAATAAGGACTTCAGTTTAGGGGTTTCGGGTGTCAGTATATTATTAGCGAGGTTCAGATTTGGCTTCCACTACCACTACCGCTACCTCTCGCTAATCTATTAGATCGGACAGAGCGAGGACGCTAAACAAACTGCAGTAATTTATTCTATTCAAGTTGGTGTGCGCTAACTAAAGTAAGTCGTTTTTTATCCTGTTGTGTTGATTAGTATCATCAGCTGTTTTTTATGATTGTATAGATTCATGTTTATGTTGGTTTGGGCGCATGCCATAATCTGTGTAATCCTTTTCTAAATTGTGTAGTTCGAACCCATAAACCAAACCTAATTGATATCACACACCTGCAACCATACCAAATTCTAGTTACCGAGCCTCAATCCCTATCGAGAACATTGTATCAGAAAACTGTGTCATTTAACTGGTATTAAAGTTATTGTTTGTGTTATATCTGCGTATGGAGTTCGTTATTGCTGCGCATCATACTTGAATCAACTCTTGGGACTTTGCGCATGTTAATAATCTGCCCAGAGAGTTTACACCTAGGCCTTGGGACCTTAGGTAGCGGTTTAAAAGGAGAAAGGAACAAACAAACAACCCAAGCCATACATGCATCCAAAGCGTAATAATCAGCTTGAATGTGAGACATCAGTGCGAATGTACATTCTTAACATATCAAATGTCCAAGTGCGACACAACTCATCTCATCGTCGTCATGAACATTCTTACAATGCAGGAAATAAGTATAGCTAAGAATACGTAGGTATAATATCCGCGCCAATTACTTTTGGTTATTAGGAACCTACGCCTACAATACTCAATATGCATGGTTGGACATGATTTGCTCCAAAATAAATTTGGAGTTGCAACACAGGTAATAATATAGGCAAAAATGTTCTCCATGTTTACCATACTTACCCTTGACGGGCATATGTAAACCTATGAATGTAAATTTCATGACGACCGTAAGAATGTTCATGACGACGATGAGATGCGTTGTGTGGCACTTGGACATTTGATATGTTAAGAATGTATAGTATATATACAGGGTGAGAAAAAAAAAACTGACACCTTTGAAATTCAAATTAGCTGCAATGTGTCTGTAATCTGCTGTAATGAGACAGAAGTTGTCTAAAATATCTTATGGGTATACGAAGCATATCAAATAAGTGAACCATTAATTAAGTAGAACATAAAGTTTGTTCCCTTTGGGAATTAAAATACATTCTAAGCTCTGTGATAAGAAAGAACGTGGAATTAGTTCAATTGGTTTAAGCACTTTCGCATTCATTAACCACGTCTTGTTGATTGTACACAATGGGAATTGTCAAATTCCAGCCATAAGTTTGCGGCTAATTTGAATTTCAAAGGTGTCAGGTTTTTTTTACTCACCCTGTATATTAACTCCATTGCGCAATGCGCAAGCGAGTTCTTAAAATGGGAAGCGTTCTTATTAATATTTTTATGGTCGAGAATTTCGCGACCCGCAAGGTGCGATAAGGTGCGCTGACCTGCAAGCCACGAGCTAGGCAGGCGTGGTTGCTAAGCTAACGTGCATGCTGCACTGCTGAGTCATTAAACTCACTAATCAATCGAGTTTCGAAGATCACAAAGCTAACCCGCGTTCTGAAATCCAAAGTTATATTTGAATTGGGATGCAAGAGATCACAGCGCAATTAAATTTATCCAATGCTCTCCCCATTTTCACGCCCGTAACGCCCGTTCCATTGCATAGCTGTACAACTATGGCCAGTCCAAGCACACGCCTGAGTATATATGGTGCACAAAAACATAAATTTTGCACCAAACATATATCGCCAAATTTTGCACAAATAAGAGGAGGAAAAATGAAATACATTTTCAAAACTTGAGACGAAATAGTTTGGAAAAAACTAAATTTTTACCTGAGTTTGTGTCGGCCTTCAGTCCCATATTTCCCCGACGAAAGCAGCCGAAAAAATTAATGAAAAAATGCCTCAAATGAAAGACAAAACTCCCTCACCTGAAAACTATGATAACAACGATGAAACCTAAAGGTATCGAAAAATATGTAAACCAAAGGCGAAAACAGGGATATAACTCGGCGGATAGCTTTCTACTGCAAAAAATACAAATATTGCTTTTTGCACAATAAGCCTCGCTTCCATGTTGTGCGAAGGCGCGGTTACTAAGTTTCGCAATTGGTCTATTCCATTAAAAAGATTTCCTTCTTGGATGTGGCGGTGACTCTTGCCCATAATGGTTTAATTTAATGCGGATGTGTTTAGTAAACCAACTGATGCACATCTGGGGCCGGTTGTATGAAAGCCGGGTAGCGCTATCCACCGGATAGTGATTTTTTCAATCGCTTTAAAATCACCCGTTGTTGGGTATGACTTTGATTAAATCTTAGTATTCCTAAATTGAGGATCCTCTTTAACAAAAGTTGGCTGCAAAGCTGAAGTTTTATAGCTATTCAAGCATTTTTAGAAGGGTTGAAAAAATCACTATCCGGTGGATAGCGCTATCCGGCTTTCATACAACCGGCCCCAGTATTTGAATTACGGTTTGTGCCTTCCGTCGCATATCAAGAGGGGGATACCATATGGGCAGGGACTTAGACTTAAAAGAATTTGTAGTTCGCAGGAAATTTTGGAGGGTAGACTGGATGATCTAAAAGATTTCTTGATGGAACGAGGCTGTGATCGTAATTTTATTGAGAAACAATTTAATAGGGTTAGGAATAGTTATAATCAAATTGCGTCTGATCAAAACAATAGGGTTTGTTTGGTACTGGATTTTAATCCGGCACTTAATTGTTTAAAGGGTAACTTGCAGATAATGCAGGGTATAGTTGAAATGTTATCGGATTTTTTTAAGGTTTTACCTGAAGAGCCATTGTTAAGTTTTCGTAGACCGAGGAACAGATCATCTTGTCAGATCTAGGTTACTTAGTGTTGAAACTTCGAGTATACTCTATAGAGGCATGATTAAGTATGGTAATAAAGAAGCGCTGCCAAGTGTGTAATTATATTGTGTTGGGGTCTAAATTTAGTAGCTTTTCAACGGGTAGAGTTTATCACATAAGTCATGCCTTTGATAGTGATTCTGAAGGGGTGATTTATAATGGTAATTGCACTGAGTGGAGTGCAATTTGGTTTGAAATCAAACGCGTGATTACAAAACCGCAAAATTATATGTAAACATTCAAAGAACTCATATGCAAACATTCCAAATAACTTGTTGAAGCTCTGCTTTCAAATAATACTTGCAATTAAACTGTTTAACATACCGTGTGTTACGTTCTAATGATTTAATGATGATTTTAAATTCAATTTACCAGAGAACAGAGAACCAACAGTGGCGAGGCGCTACGTGTTAAAGGTTTAGAAGATCAGTAGCTCACGAAAGACAAGAAACTGATATCTGACTAGAGGGTATGGTTTATAAACAATAATGTCAAACTTTAGCCTACAATAGCTACGTGACTCAAAATAATGCCAATACGCTTTTTATTGTCAGAAAAGGCAAAAGAAACTGAATCTATAAAATTTAATATCTGTGTTTTACAATTTATTCATAACTTTCAATTTATAGTTTAAACATGTCGCGGTTGCAAATTCGTATGATTATCATGTTGTTTTAGAGAGTTTAGTGTATGGGTATAGTAATTTTGATTTGTTATAACTCAAACTCGGTTTAACAAAGCATATTCACTGGTGTGCTAAAAAACATAAACATCAAAGCCTTTTTTATTATATCCGTAGTACAAATCGTAAATATTATTGGTGAAAAGCGGCTGCCGAAAACAAAAACAGAAGTGGATCTGACCCAAAGAATCTGAAAAAAACAACTGCTACGGCTGAGATCACGAACACACACATTGCATACACATTCAAGCGATAAAAAGCAATGTTACATCTCCAGGGTAGTGTTGGTGTAAGACCTAATTCAAAATATTCTTTAAAACAGGCTAGGTCAGTCGATAAATATACACTAAACGATGATCGATTAACCCATCCAGATGAGATACCTCATTATATTTTTAATAAACTGATGATAGTTGATTACCGTGTCCGTGAATTTAAATTAAATAACGAAGCTAGAAATACTTACGACTCCGTTGAGAGCAAGGATGAAGATAATGAGAGGGAGGATGAAGGTGATGAGAGGGGGGATGAAAATGATGAGAGGGAGGATGGAGGTGATGAGAGCGAGGATGAAGATGATGAGAGGGAGGATGAAGGTGATGAGAGCGAGAATGAAGATGATGAGAGCGAGGATGAAGATGATGAGATGGAGGATGACGATATTGGCGAGGAAACAGGAGTCCATCCGATGGATGCATTCCTTGGTATTTTTCATTCTTCCGATATTTTTTTACGACGTTATCTTGCTACTAGGTTATCTGAATGTCAACTCAGTGTTCCATTTCTTCTGCCTGATCCTATGACGGGGAAATCTGAAAACGTCACAATGTTACTTTCAGCTTTACAGAATATCACGAAGTCTTGGAAAAGTGGTTCCGGCAACAATGAAAGTGTACAAGAGGTGTTTGCAACACTACATCCATTTCCGGTGGTTTCCTTCATCCGTCTCGGCCAACCTACCATGTCGAAATCATTGTTGATTAACAAAATTATGAGTGACAGAGACAGTTACCACAATTTCTTCTTCCACAAAGATATGGAAGGTGGCGATGTCGCAAGGAAAGTAGTTGATGGATTGGTTGAACTGAGCTGGTATCTTCCTAAAGGGAAACCGAAGGCGATACTAAAACGTGAAATTTGCTTTGCGAATCTTCGAGGAGAGGCTACAATTTTCAAGAAACAACTAAAAGTTCTTTCGAAGATATCATCCACCCTTTGTATAGTACTACCATCAGCACGTCCGGATCAGACCATGCAAAATATTTTAAATAGATTTGCCCGTAACAACACAAAAGTCATTCTTTTATTCAATGAAAAAATAATGAAAAGTGGAAAGAAATATTTTGACAAGTTAAAAAGTAGTTCTAATGAAAAGTTCTCTTTGATAACGAAGGCGGAAAAAGGCAATGAATATGACTATCTTAAGACTATCCGAGAAGGTATCAGAAAGAAAATAGATGGAGTGAAAGCAAGGCCTCTTGTGAAGATATCGTTGCGTGCAGATGAATATGAAATTCAACTTGAGGACGATCAAATAGATTCAGAGTTTAAGGCGATGATAGACAGCTTGTTGGAAAAGGGGATTGAAAGAGTGAAAAAATTGATGACGTTGCAAATTCACATCCCAGTATTGGCGGGGTTGGAGCGTGAGATGCACCGCCCTAAACGTCATGGTAACAAATTTATTAAAGAAGATAATAACGAAATATATGAGAAAGTTAAAAAAAGTAAAGAGGCGCAAAAGACATCTTTGAAACATCTTGACAAAGATATTCTTAATTGTCTTAATCACATTACAATGATGGATGAATTGGAACGACATAAAGCATTGAACATGTTGAAGCACCGGTTGGAATACAAGATCAAATGCCTCGCTTGGCTTAGAACACGTCATCAGAGAACTAGCCCAGCTATACCAAATTAAAAGAAATACAAAAGACAGTGCAGGTGAAAACGAATGCGACTATGCAGGTGCTGCGGCAGATATGTTGCTTTCAGGGCAACCTCTTGAGCTTGTTGACGGCGATCACTTTTACATTCCACTAGAATGGTTCAATGCTGTGTGTACCAAACTAAAAGAGAAAACCAACGATGCGAAAATATTTGTGGTTTCAGTTGTAGGAATTCAAAGTTCAGGTAAGTCAACAATGTTAAACACAATGTTTGGTTTAGAATTTCCAGTCAGTGCAGGTAGATGTACTAAAGGCGTTTTCGCTAGCCTTCTTCCTGTGAGTGATTCCCTTAAGTCAACTTCAAAGTTTGATTATGTCTTGGTTGTTGATACTGAAGGTCTCAGAGGATTATCAGATCCTCAGGTGCGGGAACGCGACAATGAGCTGGTAGTTTTTGCGATTGGTTTGGCCGATGTAACACTAGTGAATATCAAGGGTGAAATTTCTAATGATATGAAAGATTTCTTGGAAACAGCTGTCCATGCTTTCTTGAAAATGAAGCTTGCCGACGCGAACAAGATGTCTTGCAGAATTGTTCACCAAGATGTTGCAGATCCTGGTGCAAACACAAAATTAGAAGGCGACCGTATAGACTTCATAAAAAATCTTGATGAAATGACGAAGAATGCTGCAATTCAAGAAAATTGCAACGACAAATACAAAAAATTTAATGATGTTATTTCATTTAATGAGAAAGAGGACGTGTTTTATCTACCAACACTTCACTTAGGAAACCCACCAATGGCTCCCGTAAACCCTCAATATGGAAGAGGTATCCAAACAATCAAAAATGGCATAATCGACTTAATGTGCTTAACTAACTCAAACGAAAATGTAAGTTCTCGCCATTCCGTGTCTGATTTAGAAAGTTCTCACCATTCCGTATCTGATTTTCAGAAGAGGGTTACCAACATTTGGAAAGCACTTCAAGAAGAACATTTCATATTCAGTCTCCGTAACACGATTGAATTGAGAGCTCGGAGATCTTTGGACGAAAAATATTTAGAGGTATCTGTGTCTGTGATGTTGACTGGAATGGCCAAGCTTGAAGAACAAATTGATGTAGCTCTGAGAAGATGCTTAACAGCAGTTCAACGAGAGGAGGAGTGGGCTGAGAGTGAAAAAGAAATACATAGTAAAGCGAAGGAACTTGAAAAGGAAATGAAGAAAGCAATGGATTTCTTTTTCGTAAATGACAAAGACAGTACGACTCTTTATAAGTGGAGGGGAGCCATAAGTGAGGAAATTGAAAAGGAAAAGGAAAGACAAGTGACGAAGGTGAAGGACCACTGCTTTAAAACCTTGTTGTATTTGCGAAGAATTCAGGATATTGAAAGAAAAAAAAATACCTACCAGGAGAAAGTTATGGAAAAAGCTAAAGAGTTTATTATTTCAGTTCATCATATTGAAAATAAGGCGAAGTTGGAAGCGATCTTCCTTCAAGAATGGCAACGATGGATTTCAGACGTTCCAAAATTACAGGAAGTGAAAATTGATGTCATCGACGAAATGGTAGGTTTTGTATTGGAGAAGTACCCTGATTCAAGTGAAGATGAACTAGCAGAGTACAAAAATATCATATCAAACTTCCAGAATGGTGGTATTGCTGATCAGGATCTTATTTACAATATAGGCTTTTTAAAAATGTTCTTCTTTGGACGCAAAATTCGAAAAGATTGTATTGCTCGTGCTTCAGCTATTAAAAAAAAGGTGGTTGATATGGCAAAAGATTTTTCTCAAGTGGCCTTGGAATCAGGGGTAAGATTTACCCGAGATAATCTCAAACAAATGTACGAGAATGTGACTACTTCCTTAGATGAAGAAACTAAAAAATATCTGTTTGAATTTAAAACATCTTCTAAACGCAATATTTTAGTGTCTTCTTTTGCACAGTCCCACCAATATTTTGATGAAATGGAAGACCGCTTTTTACAGGAACAAGATATCAGAGGAAACTTGGAAATAACCTTGCGACCACAATTAAAAAATTATTTTGAAAATGTTTACGAGAAGAGAAACAAAGAATACTTAGCTGCTTTTTTTTTCGTTAATGTACTTAAAAAGGAAATTGAATCAGCGCTGGCGCAGAGAATGGGGAAATTAGTGGCAGATGATATATCCAGAAGCAGCGAGTTCAAAGACAAAGGTAAATTTCATGCTAAAATTCTGATTAAACTCGGCGAGGACAAAAATTTTCAGTCGTACGTTCGTTATTTGGAAGATCCAGTTGAATTTCTGAAAACAAAATTGGAGGAATCAATTGAAAACCACTGCCTTCATACAATCCTTCCTGCTACTGTTTCACTTTTCGGAAACGAAGTTAACAAAATAAAAGAACAAATTTTAACCGCCATTCGAATTGCTGACGATAAAACAAGGAAAAGGGAAGGGAAATTAACTTTTTGGATTCAGCAATTTGTCGAGGTGTGTTCAACAATTATTGTCAAAAAGGAAATGTTTGCTGTGGCCGCTATTGTAGATCTAGACGAGATTAGCGTCTTCCAAGCTTCCGACCAAATCATCAACAATCTAAATCAGTATATAGACTCTTTAATTGAAGGTGGAGTTAATCTTGCGACCTTCCGCAAATGGAATCCATCACCGCACAAATTCATCTTTGATGAAATGTTTGCTTGTCAATGTCTTTGCCCCTTTTGCAAAGCATTGTGCGATGGAAACAAAGGTCATAAAACACATTCAACACAATCTCATCGCCCAGTTGGAATTGTTGGTCAGATGCACGAGAGAACTAGAAAATTAGTTACCAATTTTTGCACGGAGTGCGTAGCCGGAAACAAGACATTTCGAAGCCTGGATACATTTTACGAACCATGCTATTACCGAGATTATCGCTCTGTCAATGATTATTACGGCTCCTGGGTCATCGCTGGAAATAAGTCGCTTAAACCGTCAATGTATTGGAAGTGGTTTATGGCAACCTTCTGGAAAGAACTGGCAGACGTACATGGTGTTACACCAGCAAAACCTAATTTCTTTTGGAGGTTCATTTCATTTTATGAGGCGAAAGAACAGCTTATGCGTGATTACGACCTGTAAAAGGACTTTGTTTTCATGCCTGTTCATGGTTTTCCTTATTACTACTATATGAATTGTAGTATTAAACACTCAGTGCCGCCGTATATCAGCACACAGAAGAATATACTCGTAGTACGTGGGCACATATATATATTAACCCGCCATATATACTTTTCTGTCTAATACAGTCCTTGTAGCCTACTGTTTAATTATTTTGTCTATTAAATGTATTATTATTCACTATAATCTTTTAAATTAAACTTAAACGTAGTATAAAATGTAATCAAACAGACTAAACTTTGGTCTAAAACGGTAAACATTGCATGGCTAAATCTTTGTTTGCTAAAATCAATGACAATGCCGAGTTTTAAAAACACTTACCAAACCTATTATGTTAAATGATTTGATGCTTTCGTTTTAAGGACAAGCACAAATATAATAAACACGTTACAGTAGCAGTGATTCCTGCAACTACACACCACTGACATTTATAACATACACATGCAACTATGCAAACATTACAGCATTACACTATCAATCTTTCACATACTCACCACAAAGACACACACAAGTTGCTGTATGCAAGTCCTTGGATCCCATCATCAAATCTGTAATGTCAATGATCTCAAGTCTGGATCTTCAATTAACTATACTCCTACGAGCACCTGTTGATAGTAACAACGTTTTAGCTAATCGTTTTCTTAGAAGAGACGTAGCAAACTCTATGTGAGGAACATATAGCATCCATGCTTATATTCGCCATAGAAGCGTTCGTTTAGTTTTTAATTTATTCAGTATAAAGCACTGCATGTCATTTTCCATAAATCAAATATGTTCAGACAACTTGTCTCATGAACTATATTATAGTACTGAGCTATATAGTCATATAGATAGCTGCACTGATTTGAACACTTTACATTGTCAAGAAGTAGCTATACAGACATCACATTAATTAACAATTATTTTGCAATCGAATGCGAGGTGTGAGACAACGTCGAGGTATTTGTTTGATTGTAATCAATGAGCGGGGGGCGAATAACTGTTTAACGTCGCTCAACCAATCAAAGGCCAGAATTTTCAACAATCACCTTTGTAATTATACTAAAGACAATAATTTAAAAAGCAGTGCGCGGACCATTGGTATGTTGAGATACGGTGAAACACGACTCGCATGCAGTTCTTTCAAAAACTATTAACTTTGATTTTCAAAATGTCAAGGCTATGAAATCTATCATTCTCTAGCGCATGTGTTAAAGATGTTTAATATTTGTCTGTCATATCACAACATTCCACAAATCACTTCGTGTGGTCAATAGTCATCATGGAACTGAATGCATTCAGAGAATAACATCAGTGTTCTTTACCTGGTAGATGGTTTACGGTTTTCTCGTAAAGACTGTCATGCGGTGCGATGTACTACTTTCATTCAACGACCTCAACAATGTCGTGTTGTTATGGAAACAAAGGGTTAATATTGCCAACTTATACCTGGAGAAATTCTATAAAACATCGGACGCTATCCAAAATACAATACAGCAAGCTTGAACACGTAGTACGCCAGATATGTCAAATGGCCATCTGCGAAAAACTGAAAAAAAACCACAAACCATAAATATCTTCAGTACAGGCGGGGTCAAGTTATTTCGACGCTGTTAGCCGAACAAAAGATCTTAGCAAGGTCAAGAGGCATAGCAAATGGAAATATCATCTTGTTGTAAGGCAGTTTACCCGAACAAAAGATCTCAGCAAAGTCAAGACGCGTAGTAAATAATAACATCATCTTGTTGTAAGGTAGTTTACCCGAACAACAGATCTCAGCAAAGTCAAGAGGCGTAGTAAATGGAAATATCATCTTGTTGTAAGGCAGTTTTAGCCGGGCAAAAGATCTTAGCAAAGTTAAAAGCGTATGGAAAGAAAACGTAACGATGCTCGCTTTAACTTTGCAATATTCACACGCAGCAAAGAATCAGCCAACATGGCAGACCCAGAAACGTTTAGGTCATCAAAATACTTACAGAATCCTGAACTTTGAAGGAATATATGTTGACGTCAATGTCTTAAAATTCCAGCATTGACAATATGGTTCCTATACGTAAATGAAAGGCACGAAGAGAGTTGATTTAACAAAACATAAAGTGCGTCCATATTCCCTTCTCTCAATCACGTCTGGCAAATACCGAACTGAAAAGGACAACAAAAATTGAACTCAAGGAAAGGTTAATTTGCGGAATGTTGTGACATGTACTGACAGAAAACGAAGTTGTTTAAAAAAAACGTTGTTGTATTTTGTTGCTGAATTTGTCTAATTTTTACGGTATATTTTATCGCCTGGCATTGGGAATGTCATGAAATATAAAATTATGCTGGTTTTTTTCAGTCTAAATTTTTCGATGTATTGAAATAAATGCTGGATAAAAAGTGAATATTTTCGAATATCGGATTGTTTACAAAGTGATAAAAAGCATGAAGTATCCCAACATGGCCTTAACACTGCTGCTTTTTGAATTATTGTATTGTAATTGTTTCGTATATAATCAATATTCTGAAGTTTGTTGTTTTAATGCAAGTATAGTCAATAAAAATGTAGAATAATGACACACTCGGTGTTCTAGTTTCTTTTACCAGTTTGATTGCGTACATTATCGCTTAAGATGATTGGTTGAAACATTCAGTCTTCGTAATCATCCAATCAGAAGCGATGCAGGACTTCGATAAAGCTGAATTATAATTTTTCTTCATTCTCATAACTTTCATAGCTAATTTGACTCACTAAATTTCATTTTGCAAATTTTACGCCCAGCAGAAATGTCTCCATGCTAACTCGGTCTTGTCGTTTCCTTCTGAATGTTATCGACCTATATCTAGATCAACTGGATCGTAAAAAAAATTTAACTTTTAGTGTTTTTTTACTATTTTATTTTAGTTAAAATTAATGTGGAACTATTCTCTGCACTTTAAAGATGAAAATACATTGATACTGCAGGAATACATAAAAATAGTTTTTATGCTGTTTTCAAAGATTAGTTCGTTTCTTGAATATTGTGGAGACGTCCTTTTTCATACAGTACTTCAAGAAATCTTTTAAGCTCAGAAGTTGCTTTCTTAAAACGCTTTCTCCGATCATTATTTTCACGAACGTAATGAGTAAGAGCTACGACAATGCCGCCAAAAATTGCCACAACAATAACAGTCATGTAAGACTCGTATCCGCCTTTCTCGTCTTTTAATTTTCCTGCTTCTTTCTCATCTCCAAACTCCTCTGCCAATTGCTCGCAGCTGTTGACTACAACACGTCCTGTCGTGATGACATAATTTTTTTTTTCTGAAATCGTTTTGGCTGGATGGATCTCTTGGAAATCGAAGGTAAATTCAGTTCTAGTCTTCTTCATCCCGTTCTGAACAACTATTTCCATTTTAACGTCGACTGTGGGGCAACATTTTTGAGAGATTTCAGATGACTCGTCATAATCGCTTCGATCATCACAAGTGTCTGTCGCCGTGGTTCGCCAAGAAGTAACAAGAGCAAATATGACAACATTGGAATAGCGTCTAGAAAACATACCCATTTTGTTGATGTGTTGAAAAGTAATATCGTACACGCGTAGAGCAACCTTCCCGTGACTCTGTTAGTTCGACTATTGCGCGCACGCATTTATAGACAGCGATGTTTATCATATGCAAGAATGTTTTTAAACTAGGGAAATAGTCAAGTGGATAACTTGACCATTATGGGTCGATGACCGCCAACGAAAGTCATGCAAACCAATGACATTTTAACTTCCTGTAATATTCTCGCACATAAATATACTTTCAATCATAACCCTTCTTTGTTTTCAAAAGCTGATTGTCTTTGAGTAGACAAACGGCAAACCTCACGAAAAGTTGCGAAAAATATTATTCAGATACTCCTGTAGGAATCGAACACACAGGTCTGGGAAAGTAAGCAGTTTTTTAACCACTAACCTACAGAGGGTGAGAGGACTTTGCTTGTGGGCATAAATTTACGTTTTGAATGATTTTACGTGTGGTACAGGTTGCAAGTGATGACTTGATAGTTTATCACTTAGTACATGTAGTATGTTACCTCTATATGAAAGCCTATATCAGTAACATTCCCTTTCGTGGCAACCTTCCGTTTTCAATGGAAAATTGTTTTTTCTTATCATCATAACACATACACGAATATTTGGTGAGACACACTCCGTCAAACAAAGACATCCTATAATTTGAAACTCAAGATTCGTGTGTAAAGAAAGACACCCATGCAATTATTCCACTTGTCACTTGTGATATTGCTTAGCTACTTTGTTTTATTGCCAAACCAGGTTATTTCATTTATATCCATATGAAGACGTCCGTTAATTTGTTCACGATAAGCGGACGGAAATTCCGGAATTGAATTTCCGGAAATTCACCACTTGTGGACGGTCGTGGAAGTTGTTTAATTAAAGTGCTACTTCTGTTCTTCATCTTTGTCTCTAAACCTTATTTGTCTTTTTCTAAATCGCATTTCATATATATATATATATATATATATATATATATAATATATATATATATATATAAATATATATATGGAGAAACAGCGACGAATTTCAAAAACAGAAGCGTTAAACAATTACGACAGCGTACGAACGGCATTCGACGAGGCTTCTCGACTGGTGTACAAGTGGAAGTTCCCTGCTGAGCGTAGACGCCAACGGAGTCGCTCGGGTAGCATTATGGATCCATTACGCGATGCTTTCAATAGGTTAAGCAGGGCGCTTTCGGACGAAGAGATCCCACAAAGACCGCGTTCAGCAAGTTCCGCAGACATTACTCGCGTTACTATAACAACCACGCCATCGGGGAAACACAATCACGGGCGATCGCATTCAAAACAGAGAACCAAACATGTTGTAACGAACGAGAACTTTTTGCAAATACCACTAGTGGATGGTGCCGTAGTCATACCTTTGCTTGAGTAACCGACAATTAAACGCCCGTCAAACGGACAAACATCTCGTTATTTATTGCCGGATTCACAATTATATTATTATGATGGTTTACGAGTTCTTAAAAATGAAGAATATGCTACACAGAATGAGCTCAATAACTATCTGGAGTGACTCTAACTTGTGGTATCTGCGCACAGTGATCCAACGTGGCCTAAATTGACGTCAGATTCATCTGGGAAGAGCCTTTCTATTGTCATCTGACGTGCAAGGATTTTAAAGGCTGGATGACCTGTGAATACTGTAAATATGATTTAATATAGAGGTCATTTAGTCATACAGTATAAATTAATCACCTGTAAATAAAGAGCAATTTATATGTATATACAAGACGAATAATTAAACAATTTCTGTTTCTCGCATAAATTAAACATAAACTCAAAAGGTATAGTAGCACTTTCCCTCTTAATGAGTGAAGCCAAGATGGCCGATCATGAAGCCTTTCTTGTAGGTATGATCCAGAGGTTTTTGTGGTATAAGATTAAGAAAACGTCTGTCAGACCTTATACAATTTTTTCCTAAATCACGGATAATTTGAATAATTTTCAAAAGGAAGAATTGGTCCATGACTTTGCGCCATTTGTAAAGAGTGAAAATTTGCTAATCATTTTTAAAGGCGCGATAACTTTGTCAAGTATTTGTATGTATATCTAGATGATAGAAATTATGGCCATTCCTACTCCCAACATGTTCACGAATGCATTGGTATTCAGGGTTTGCAGTTAGCGTGTTGATTTGTATTCATTGCATGCTGAAAAAATTAATAGACAAATTATGAGCACAGTTGGAAACTAACCCATCATTGTTTTCCGACGCAATAGATAAGTAGTCACATTGTTCATCTATATTGAGAACATTCCAAACTGTTTCAAACTAAGTTTAAAAAAAATATATTTGTCTCGTCTTGAACGTAATTAATATATCTGGTATTCGAACGAATTGTAATAAAATCCTTTTGGTTCTTTGGGTCTTTTAATATGAGAGTATTTAATAAAATAGCCTATTGTGATCTTCATCCTGAAATCCTAACTTTATTTTTGTCAATTAGTTCTAAAAACATTTGAGGTTGTTATTGTGTTTCTTCGCTAAAAACCGACATTCTATTAATTACGCAGAATTCTTGTGAATTTTCATAACAAAGGGTGCATGAAGTCAGGCTCGGCTGCCGAATTTAAAAATATTCAAATTTTCTTTGTTCTTAAAATATACAAATCATAATCACAGCGTCAGTAACATAATTCGTCCGCATCTAACACATTGAAAACATAGAACAAGCAAATTTTTCCTTCATCTTGGTTCTATATTTTGATGATAAAATGCTTTTCGTGTAATCTACATGGTCAGCGTAAAGACATTGGAGTGGTAAGTACTTTGTTTATATTTTGTACACTTTGTATATACGTGATGTCTTTACATGCACACTTTGCTGTTCGTAAATCAGAAAACATCATTGTCTTAAAGAGCTTAAGTTGAATTACACATGAATCGACGAGTCATTTATCACTATCTATAGATTAATATATATATTAATATATTTGTCTCGACAAGAAATGACATATTATGTAGGAGATTTACGTCGTACTAAAAGTGAAACCATTTTGCAGATGGGCGTTGTTTACATTGCATCTAATCCCTGACATTCTCAGATTATATATTTTTTTCATAAAAATTTTAAACTCGAGATATTTCAGAAAGAAATTATAATAAGAGGATAATATTTCATACGTGAATGCAGCCATGATTCAGGAACTTTAACTTCCGGGATGAAAGCAAACGAAATCTAAACTATGAACTTTGTGGCCTGTTTTTCCTTCATTACTTCAATTCAATGTTGTAACTATTTCAAGACATAGATGCGACTTGCACCTTGATTCCTCCTGAAACGAAAATGTGAGGGAAATAAGTTTAGAATATACAGGGTGTGTCTAATCAGATAGTTAATTACAAAGTTGAATAATCTATCACTATAATTTATCCCAAGGGATCGTAAACATAATACCATACTCGGGGATGTCAACGTTCGTTTGTTATAACTTATATATGTGGCTATTCTAAAAAGTAATAACAAAGAATAAAACGCTTTTCAAATCCCAGAAGTATAATTAGGTGCACTGGTATTGAAATGCTATTTGCAGTATCTACTTATGCAAATCATGGTGTTAGCGCTTTTTTTATACACCCTGTAGTGTATAATTAGATATCAGATATCAACAGAAAGCCCACGCATTTTCAGATAGTGTTACTTATATATATACGTATATGGTACAGTATGGTACATAGTGTTACCTATATATTACGTATATGGTACATGATGCATTTCACTTGACAAACATATATATATATACACCCATTTGCAAAAACGTTGGCCGCAGATAGATAGATAGATAGATACTCGAAGTCTAATTAGAATTGCATATGAATGCATTTGCATGGGATTTCAATTATATTACACAACATATGCAATTCTAATTAGATTTCGGGTATCTATCTATATATCTATCTGCGGCCAACGTTTTTGCAAATGGGTGTATATATATATATATATATTAATATAATATTATATATATATATATATATATATATTGAACATGATTTGCTCCAAAATAAATTTGGAGTTGCAACACAGGTAATAATATAGGCAAAAATGTTCTCCCGTGTTTTACTATACTCACCCTTGACGGGCATATTCAAACCTAAGAATGTAAATTTGTCCCTTTCCCTCACCAGCTCACTCGTTAAGAGTGCCTAGGCCTTGGGACCCTAGGAGGCGGTTTAAAAGGAGAAAGGAACACACACACACAGCCCAAGCCATACGTCCATCCAAAGCGTTCATCGGCTTGAATGTGAGAGATCGATTTTACGTATTTATCAGTGCGAATGTACATTCTTAACATATCAAATGTCCAAGTGCCACACAACTCATCTCATCGTCGTCATGAACATTCTTACAATGCCTACGTATTTTTAACTATACTTATTTCCTGCATTGTAAGAATGTTCATGACGACGATGAGATGAGTTGTGTGGCACTTGGACATTTGATATGTTAAGAATGTACATTCGCACTGATAAATACGTAAAATCGATCTCTCACATTCAAGCCGATGAACGCTTTGGATGGACGTATGGCTTGGGCTGTGTGTGTGTGTTCCTTTCTCCTTTTAAACCGCCTCCTAGGGTCCCAAGGCCTAGGCACTCTTAACGAGTGAGCTGGTGAGGGAAAGGGACAAATTTACATTCTTAGGTTTGAATATGCCCGTCAAGGGTGAGTATAGTAAACACGGAGAACATTTTTGCCTATATATATATATATATATATATATATTAATATACAGGGTGTATCAAAAAAAACGCAACCACTTAATATTCTAAAATTCATATTGTTCATAAGCTCAATAGATTTTATGCCCCTGGGATTTTAAAATGGCTTCTAATCGTACAGTTCAACTGCTAATAGTCAAATCAGCTAAACTAATAATGGTGCAGCTAACAACCGAACAACGAGTTTTTATTGTCGTGCATGATAACTTGAATGCTAACTGTCGACCTTGTAAAATAAATTGTAAATAAAATTTTACTCGTTAGATACTTTCAATTCAGCTCGTTGGTTTACGCACCCGACTTTGTTTACCGACGATTGTGCCGCTAGAATATGATTACAAGCTTTCTCGCATTCCAGGGGCCAAACGTCTTTTGTGTTGTAGAACAAAGAGGATATTCATGAATATTAAGTGGTTGCGTTTTTTTTTATACACCCTGTATATATACACACCCATACACACCCATTTGCAAAAACGTTGGCCGCACATAGATGATAGATAGATAGATAGATAGATAACTCTAACAATTTTTCTTTCCCCTTGAGAGTTCGAGTTAGCGAGGGACTACTGTATATATATAATTGCATATGTTGTGTAATATGATTGAAATCCCATGCAAATGTAATCATATGAAATTCTAATTAGACTTCAAGTATATATATATATTTACATACATTAAGAAAACTATATTTTAATATATATATATATATATATTAAAATATAGCATTCTGACAACTGGAAACTATCGAAATAACTTAACAAGTTAATGAAAATGTATAATTGATTTTAAATTTCAAAAGATTTTCTGTAGTGCCACTGTCGTTATTGATCTATAGCTTTTTTAGTTCCTTTTGTACTCTTTCGATATTTTTAATTTTAAAACGTCGTCCACTCTCGGTGACCATTCATATCGGAAGGCCTAATATCCCTTGAAGAATGACTCGATTGGATTTTATACCTTATTGTATTACTTATCATAAACGTAATCTGACACCAACTCTGGTTAACTCGAACCCCCGGTAACTCGAACAATTTTTCATTCCCCTTGGAAGTTCGAATTAGCGAGGGACTACTGTATATTACGTTTGGGTTTGGTGGCGATTTTTAGATGATGTTTTAAATTTATGATTTGGCTTCATTCGGAAGGTGATTTGAATATATTCTTCCTTCGTTTGAATACTTTTCATAACGGCATCAAATTTACTTGAAAAGTTGGTTTTAGAAAGATTTCCTTCTTGGATGTGGCGGTAACTCTTACCCATAATGGTTTTAACACGGATGTGTTTAGTAAACCAACTGATGCACATCAGTATAGATCTAAAAGGTTTCTTGATGGAGCGAAGCTATATTATCGTAGTTTTATTGAGAAACAATTTAATAGGGTTAGGAATAGTGATAATCAAATTGCGTCTGATCGGTGTATAAGGGTCAAAACAATAGGGTTTGTTTGGTACTGCATGAATTTTCATCCGGCACCTTGCAGGAAATGCAGGTTATAGTTGAAATGTCATCGGATTTTTTTAAGGTTTTACCTGAAAAACCACTGTTAAGTTTTCGTAGACCGAGGAACAGATTATCTTGTCAGATCTAAGTTACCTGTACAGGGTGTATCAAAAAAAATGTCCCAAATGTAAAATTTCCGTTTTTCTGGATATTTTGCAGAATTTGGCAATTTTTTGTGTTCCTAGAGATAGTTAAGACTTATCTGGTATACCTAGGCCAAGTTTGGTTTTCATTAACAAAATTATGTTACCGGGGGGGTGGTTCCTTTCCACTGATATTGAGAGGGCTTGCGCGCGAAAATGTGAAGCTGAAATTGAGATATTATTTAGCTGTTTAAAAGTAGGAAAGCTTTTTAATAAACTGTCAAAGTTTCAGGAAAAATAATGCATACTGGGAGCAACGCGCGACGCCTAAAGGTGACAAATATTTCATTGCGCGCAGTGGATTAAATGCATCGTTGATTTTAGCGTGACCGATCTCATGCAAGGCTGGGCAAATGAATAAATTAAAGCGAGAAACTGAACAAGAAGACGAAGCGATTTAATAACAAGATTTTTATTCTGGATGTTAATCCTCAACATTTCCACCATTTCTTTCTAAGCAAACTGCGGCTCGTCTGAGCATGGTAAACACTGAACGGCGAACCACATTTGTCTGTCCTGGCCTCAAATTATCCATTTCGTTCGAAATTCTTTCTTGCAAATCGCCTATACGCGACCACCGGCAAATCTAGGCGAATGGACAGACAAATGGTTCGCTGTTCAGTGTTTAGTATGCTCAGACAAGCCGCAGTTTGCTTAGAATGAAATGGTGGACATGCTGAGGATTAACATCACGAATAAATCGCTTTGTTTTTGTGTTCAGTTTCTTGCTTTAATTTATTCATTTTCCCACCTTGTATGAGATTGATCACGCTAAAATCAACGATGCATTTAATCCACTGCGCGCAATGAAATATTTGTCACCTTTAGGCGTCGCGCGTTGCTCCCAGTATGCATTATTTTTCCTGAAACTTTGACAGTTTATTAAAAAGCTTTCCTACTTTTATACAGCTAAATAATATCTCAATTTCAGCTTCACATTTTCGCGCGCAAGCCCTCTCAATATCAGTGGAAAGGAACCACCCCCCCGGTAACATAATTTTGTTAATGAAAAACCAAACTTGGCCTAGGCATACCAGATAAGTCTTAACTATCTCTAGGAACACAAAAAATTGCCAAATTCTGCAAAATATCCTGAAAAAAGGAATTTTTACATTTGGGACATTTTTTTTGATACACCCTGTAGTATTGAAACTTCGAATAGAGGCATGATTAGGTGTGGTAAGAAGCGGCTGCCAAGTGTGTAATTATATTGTCTTGGGATCTAAATTTAGTAGCTTTTCAACGGGTAGAGTTTATCACATAAATCATGCCTTTGATAGTGATTCTGAAGGGGTGATTTATAATGGTAGTTGCACTGAGTGGAGTGTAATTTTGTGTGAAATCAAACGCGTGATTACAAAACCGCAAAACTATATGTAAACATTGAAAGAACTTATATGCAAATATTCTAAATAACTTATTGAAGCTCTGCTTTCAAATAATACTTGCAATGCAATTAAACTGTTTAACATACCGTGTATTACGTTCTAATGATTTAATGATGATTTTAAATTCAATTTACCAGAGAACAGAGAACCAACAATGGCGAGGCGCGACGTGTTAAAGGTATAGAAGATCAGTAACTCACGAAAGACAAGAAACTGAGATCTGACTAGAGGGTGTGGTTTATAAGCAATAATGTCAAACTTTAGCCTACAATAGCTACGTGACTCAAAATAATGCCAATACGCTTTTTATTGTCAGTAAAGGCAAAAAGAACTGAATCTATAAAATTTAATATCTGTGTTTTACAATTTATTTATAACTTTCAATTTATAGTTTAAACATGTCGCGGTTGCAAATTCGTATGATTATCATGTTGTTTTAGAGAGTTTAGTGTATGGGTATAGTAATTTTGATTTGTTATAATTCAAACTCGGTTTAACGAAGCATATTCAGTGGTGTACTCAAAAACATAAACATCAAAGCCTTTTTTATTATAGCCGTAGCACAAATCGTAAAAATATTTGGTGAAAAGCGGCTGCCGAAAACAAAAAAAGGAGTGGATCAACCAATCAACCAGAACAAAACCACCGACCCTAATAATCTAAAAAAAACAACTACTGCAGTTGAGATTACAAACACACGAATTGCATGCACATTCAAGCAATAAAAGCAATGTTAAATCTCCGGGGTAGTGTTGGTGTAAGACCTAATTTAAAATATTCTTTAAAACAAGCTAGATCAGTCAATAAATATACACTAAAAGATAATCGATTAACCCATTCAGATCAGATACCTGATTATATTTTTAATAAACTGATGATAGTTGATTACCGTGTCCGTGAATTTAAATTAAGTAACAAAGCTAGCAATACTTCCGACTTTGATGCAAGCGAGGATGAAGATGACGAGGATAGTGATGAAGATGATGACGAGGAAACAGGAGTCCATCCAATGGATGCTTTGCTTGGTATTTTTCATTCTTCCGATATTTTTTTACGACGTTATCTGGTTACTAAGTTATCTGAATGTCAACTCAGTGTTCCATTTCTTCTGCCTGATCCTGAGACGGCTCCATTTAAAAACGTCACAATGGTACTTTCAGCTTTACAGAATATCACAAAGTCTTGGAAAGATGAGAGTGCGCAAGAGGTGTTTGCAACAGCACATCCATTTCCGGTGGCTTCCTTCATCCGTCTTGGCGAACCTACTATGTCGAAATCATTCTTGATCAACAAAATTATGAGCGAAGGAGACAGTTACCATGATTTCTTCTTCCACAGAGATATGGAAGGTGGCAACGTCGAAAGGAAAGTTGTCGATGGATTGGTTGAATTGAGCTGGTATCTTCCTAGAGGGAAACCGGAGGCAATACAGAAACGTGAAATTTGCTTTGCAAATCTTCGAGGAGAGGCTGGAATTTTTAAGGAACAACTAAACGTTCTTTCGAAGATATCCTCCGTTCTTTGCATAGTGCTATCCTCGGAATATTCGGATCCGATCATACAGGATATTTTGAAAAGATCTAACAACGATACAAAAGTCATTCTCTTGTTTGAAAAAAAAATAAAGGGAGAGGAAAAGAAATATTTTGACAGTTTAAAAAGTAGTTCTGATGGAAAGTTGTCTTTAATAGCGAAAAGTGGAAATGAACATAAATTTGTTCAAACCATACAAAAACATATCAAAAGGAAAATAAGTCATTTTAATGCAAGACCTCTTGTGGAACTTTCGTCGTATGTGGATGAATTTGGCATTCGACTTGAGGATGATCAGATAAGTTCAGAATTCAAGGCAATGATAAACGGCTTGTTGGAAAATGGGATTGAAAAAATGAAAAACTTAATGACGTTGCAAATACACATCCCAGTATTGGCGGACTTGGAACGTGAGATGTATCGTCCAAAACGTTATGGTAACAAATTTTATAAAGAAGATAATAACGAAATATATCAAAAGATTGCAGAAAATGAGAACGCGCAAAAAAAATCTTTGGAACATCTAGACAGAGAAATTCTTAATTGTCTAAATGGAATTGCAAACATGGATGAATTGGAACGATATAAAGTCTTTAACATGATGAAGCATCAGTTAGATAAGATAGGAGGATCAAAATCCTCGCTTGGTTTAGAACACATCATCAGAGAACTAGCCCAGTTATACCAAATTAAAAGGAAACAAAACGAGAATGCAGAAGATGCAAAGGGAAACGAATGCGACTATGCAGGTGCTGTAGCAGACATCTTGCTTTCAGGACAACCTCTTGAGCTGGTTGATGGAGATTCCTTTTACATTCCGCTTCGATGGTTCAATGCTGTGTGTACCAAACTAAAAGAGAAAACCAACGATGCCAAAATTTTTGTAGTCTCAGTTGTAGGAATCCAAAGTTCAGGCAAGTCAACATTGTTAAACACAATGTTTGGTTTAGATTTTCCTGTCAGTGCAGGTAGATGTACTAAAGGCGTTTTCGCCAGTCTTATTCCTGTTAGTGATTCCCTTAAGTCTAATTTCAAAGTCTCAAAGTTTGATTATGTTTTGGTTGTTGATACTGAAGGTCTCACAGGATCCTCGGATCCTCAGTTGCGGGAACGCGACAATGAGCTGGTAGCTTTTGCCATTGGTTTGGCAGATGTAACAATAGTGAATATTATGGGTGAAAGTTCTAATGAGATGAAAGATTTCTTAGGAATAGCTGTCCATGCTTTCTTAAAGATGAAGCTTGTCGAAGAGAACAATAAGATGTCTTGCAAAATTGTCCACCAAAATGTTGCAGCTGCCGATGCAGAGGAAAAATTGGCCGGAAATCGTTTAGAGTTGATGAAAGATCTAGATAAGATGGCGGAGCTTGCTGCAACTCAAGAAAATTGCAAAAAGTTCAACAACTTTAATGATATAATTTCATTTAACGAAAGAGAAGACGTGTTTTATTTACCACCTTTTAAGTCGGGAAACCCACCAATGGCTCCTGTAAACCCTCAGTATGGAAGAGATGTTCAAACAATTAAAAACGGTATAATTTCCTTGATGTGTTCAAGGTCTTCAAAAGAAAGTTGTCATTATGCTGTATCCCATTTTCAACACAGAGTAACCGATCTTTGGGAAGCACTTCAACAGGAACATTTTATATTTAGTCTTCGCAATACGATTGAATCAAGAGCGCGGAGGGCTTTGGAGAACGAGTATTTAGAGAAATCTGTGTCTTGCTTGGTGACAGGAATGGCTGAGCTTAAAGAAGAAATTGATGTAGCTCTGAGAAGATGCTCAACACCAGTTCAACTAGAGAAAGAATGGGCTGAGCATAGAAATGCGATAAATCGGAAGGCAGAAGAGCTTGGAACAAAAATGGAAGAAGCAATGGATGTGTTTTTTGAAACCAGTGAAGACAGGGCAACTCTTGATAAGTGGAGAGGAGAGATAAGCGAAGAAATTAAGAAGAAAAAAGAGAATCAAGTGAAAGAGGTTGAGGACAATTGTTCTAAAACCTTGTTATATCTGAAAAGACTTCATGTTATAAAGAAAAAGCAAATAACCTATGAAGAGAAAATAATGGAAAGAGCTAAAGCGTTTATTAGTTCTTATCATGATTCTCATGATAAGGAGAAATTAAAGACGATGTTCAAAGAAGAATGGCAGCGATGGATTGCAGACATTCCAATGTCAGTGGAAGTGGAAATTAACATCAAAGACGAAATGGTGAATGTTCTGTCTAGGAACAGCGTCCTTGCAAATAAAGATACGCTAGAAGAACTAAACAATATATCGAGGTTTCAAGTTTCGGGTATAGATGTTGATGATGTTACCTACCACATAAGCTTTTTAAGATGGTTGTACTCAATGTTCTGGGGGGGCGCGATTCAACAAGAATGTGTTAATTTCGCTAAAGAAACAACAACAAAGGCCATTAATAAGGCCCTTGCATTTGCCAAAAGTGAATCAGAATCAGGTCTACGGTTTACCCGTGAATATCTCGAAAAAATGTATGAAATTGTAGAAACAACTATAACTGAAGAAACTGAGAAATACGCCAACTACTCCCTGGAATTTACTGACTCTTTGAAATGTGATATTTTCCTTTATACTTTTTCCCAGTCGTACATATTTTTTGATGAGATGCAACAACGATCTTTACAAGAACAAGATATTAGAAGTAACCTGACTGAAAAATTGCGTCCAATTTTGGAAAATTATTTTGAAAATGTTAACGATCCGGATAAACAACTGCTGTTGGCTGCTACTTTCTTCGTTGAGGTACTTGAGAAGCAAATTGAATCAGCGCTGGATTGTAACATGGGTCTTGTGGTGGCGAGGAAAATATCGAAGAACGTCGAGTTGCAGAACAAAGGTAAATTTCATGCTAGAGTTCTGATAAAGCTTGGAAAGGAAGGCAAGTTTGAGTCGTACATTCCTTATCTTGAATATCCAATTAAATTTCTTTACAAGAAATTAAAGGAAAGAATTGAATATTACTGTCTAAATGAAATCAAAGTTGACATTGTCTCACTCTTCGAAAACGAAGTTAACAAGATAAAAGATAACGTTTTATCAGCTATTGATTTTGCGAATCAAACCACAGCAGCGGGGGAGGAGAAATTGTCTATCTGGATTCAGCAATTTGTCCTGGAGTGTTCAACACTCGTCGTCAAAAAGGAGATGTTTGCTGTGGGCGCAATTGAAGACCTAGACGAAATTGGCGTGTTCCAGAAAAAAGTTCGCGACAATCTAGTTGAGCGTGTCAACTCTTTGCTCAAGCGTGGAGTCAATTCTGCGTCATTCCGCAAATGGAATCCCTCACCTCACGAATTCATCTTTGATCAAATGTTTACTTGTCAATCTCTTTGCCCCCATTGCAACGCTGTGTGCGATGGTTGCCCAGGTCATAAAGAACATTCAATACAATCTCATCGTCTAGTGGGAGTTGTTGGTGTAAGGCGCAAGGGGACCAACGAATTAAGCACCAATACTTGTGCGGAGTACGTCGCAGCAAAGCAGGAATTTGAAAACCTGCATACACGAGCCAGAACATACCATTACCGAAGTGATCGCTCTGTCAATTTGTACCCTTGGGTCATTCTTGGAGATAGATCACTTAAACAATCGATGTATTGGAAGTGGTTTATGGCAACATTCTGGAAGGAACTTGCGGAGCATTATAACGCCACACCAGTGGAACTTTATTATTGTGAATTCATTACATTCAACGACGCGAAAGAACAGCTTATGAGGCAATACGACCTGTAAAAAAGCTTCCATGCAGCCGTGGTCTTCTATAGGCGTCAGTCTTCGTAACTTACGTTGTTTTCTTAACTTATTTGTATTGAATTGTATCATTACTTGGTGCAATAATTAGCTGTATTCATACCATAATATACTCTGCATACGCGGGCATGGATATATTTTAACCCGCTAAATACGCTAAATAGTTAATTTTATGCCCAAATTCTGTTTAATATTTAGCACGCTTTAACGTTCGACGTGGTATTGTTTAATTCCACTTATAACTAAAAATTAAACTTATATTGTTTAATTATTTTGCCTATTAAATGTACATTTACTAAAAATCACCAAACGTATTACAGAGACGTAGCCAGACCTTAAAGAGGGAGGGGAGGAGCACGGCTCCCACGACTCCCCCCTGGCTACGTCGCTGACGTATTATAAAATGTAAGCTAAATTGAGTAGACTCTAGTCTTTAGTCTAAAACGGTAAATGCTTTGTATTATGAAATATTATTACCATGCATGAGTTGAATAATTTTCAAGGCATTTACCAAACATATTATGATAAATTATTTACTGTTCTAATTTTGAGGACATGAATAAAATAAACATGTTATCGTGCAGTAATTTCAGCCACTATACACAACTTTCACCCAGTCGAACAAAAACATGGAAGCATTACACTATCAATCTTTTACATATACTCACCACAAAGGCACACACGCTCAGTTGCTGTATGGCAAGTCTTTGGGATCCTATCATCAAATCTGTAACCTTATTGATCACAAGTTCTGGATCGTCAATCAACTATATACTCCGACGAGCAACCATTGATGGTAATGAAGCTTTGGCTAATATTTTTAGAAAAGACGTAGCAAACTATGTGGGGAACCTATAGTATCCATAATTATTTGCCATAGAAGCGTTAGTTTAGATTTCAGTTTATTTCTATAAAGCACTGCATGTCTTTCTTCGTAATTTAAATATATTCAGACAACTTGTCTCATGATTCATGAACTATATTATAGTATATATAATCATATAGATAGCTGCACTTATATAGCAAACATTGATTTGAACACTTTACAATGTCGAGAAGTATAGCTATAACAATATATAGATATTATCAATCAACAATTATTCGCCGATCGAAGGCGAGGTGAATGTCGCCGAGACAAAGTCGAAGTTTTTATTTGATGATATTCAATGAGCGCGAGGCGAATAACTGTTTTAGTATAATTACAAAAGTGATTCTTTGAAAAATTCAATACATTTTAATAAAGGTAAACAAATATTTCAACAATTTCACGGCGGGCGATGTAAACAAACGATGTTTGATGCAAGAACCGTTCAACAATGTAGTTTTTACATGGAAAGGATTTTTTAATCAATTTTCCTTCGCTCCATTCGTTGTTTTAGGTACAGCTTCAAAATTACTAGTACTGACTTTTTCATCTGCATGTCGTTTTCACAAAAAATCTCACCGCCATTTTGAAAAATCCGCTTAGGTGATTATCGGGTAATAATCCGAGGTCGCTCGACCAATCAGAGGCCAGAATTTTCAACAATCATCTTTGTAATTATGCTAACTGAGACAATACTTTAAAAAGCAGTGCCCGGACCATTGGTATGTTGAGATACGGTGCAACACGACTCGCATGCATTTCTTTCAAAAACTATTAACTTTGATTTTCAAAATGCCAAGGCTATGAAATCTATCATTCGCTATAGCGCATGTGTTAAAGATGTTTAATATTTGTCTGTCATATCGCAACATTCCACAAATCACTTCGTGTGGTCAATAGTCATCATGGAACTGAATGCATTCAGAGAATAACATCAGTGTTCTTTACCTGGTTGATGGTTTACGGTTTTCTCGTAAAGACTGTCATGCGGTGCGATGTACTACTTTCATTCAAGGAGCTCAACAATGTCGTGTCGTTATGCAAACAAAGGGTTAATATTGTCAACTTATACCTTGAGGAATTCTATAAAACATTGGACGTTATCCAAAATACAATACAGCAAGCTTGAACACGTAGTACGCCAGATATGTCAAATGGCCATCTGCGAAAAACTGAAAAAAACCCAAAACCATAAATATCTTCAGTACAGGCGGGGTCAAGTTATTTCGACGCTGTTAGCCGAACAAAAGATCTTAGCAAGGTGAAGAGGCATAGTAAATGGAAATATCATCGTGTTGTAAGGCAGTTTACCCGAACAAAAGATCTCAGCAAAGTCAAGACGCGTAGTAAATAATAACATCATCGTGTTGTAAGGTAGTTTACCCGAACAACAGATCTCAGCAAAGTCAAGACGCGTAGTAAATAATAATATCATCGTGTTGTAAGGTAGTTTACCCGAACAACAGATCTTAGCAAAGTCAAGACGCGTAGTAAATGGAAATATCATCTTGTTGTAAGGCAGTTTTAGCCGGACAAAAGATCTTAGCAAAATTAAAAGCGCATTGAAAGAAAACACAACGATGCTCGCTTTAACTTTGCAATATTCACACGCAACAAGGAATCAGTCAACATGGCAGACCCAGAAACGTTCAGGTCATCAAAATACTTACAGAATCCTGAACTTTGAAGGAATATATGTTGACATCGATGTCTTATAGTTCCAGCATTGACGATATGGTTACTATACGTAAATAAAAGGCAAGAAGAGAGTTGATTTAACAAAACAATCAAGTGAGTCCATCTTCCCTTCTCTCAATCTCGTCTGGCAAATACCGAACTGAAAAGGACAACAAAAATTGTACTCAAGGAAAGGTTAATTTGCGGAATGTTGTGACATGTATTGACAGAAAACGAAGTCGTTTAAAAAAATGTTGTTGTATTTTGTTGCTGAATTTATCCAATTTTTACGGTATATTTTATCGCCTGGCATTTTGTGCAGGGAATGTCATGAAAATAAAAAATTGTGCTGTTTTTTTCAGTCTAAATTTTTCGATGAATTAGAATAAATGCTGGATAAAAAGTGAATGTTTTCAAGTATCGGATTGTTTACAAAGTGATAAAAAAGCATGAAGTATCCCAACACGCCCTTAACACTGCTGCTTTTTGATTTATTGTATTGTAATTGTTTCGTATATAATCAATATTCTGAAGTTTGTTGTTGTAATGCAAGTATAGTCAATAAAATTGTAGAATAAATACACACTCGATGTTCTAGTTTCTTTCACCAGTTTGATTGCGTACATTATCGCTTAAGATGATTGGTTGAGATATTCAGTCTTCGTAATCATCCAATCAGAAGCGATGCAGGACCTCGATAAAGCTGAATTATAATTTTTCTTCACTCTCATAACTTTCATAGCTAATTTGACTCACTAAATTTCATTTTGCAAATTGTACGCCAAGCAGAAATGTCTCCATGCTAACTCGGTTTTGTCGTTTCCTCCTGAACCTTATCGACCTAGCTATAATAGATCAACTGGATCGTATAAAAAAATTTAACTCTTAGTGTTTTTTTACTATTTTATTTTAGTTAAAATTAATGCGGAACTATTCTCTCCACTTAAGATGAAAATACATTGATACTGCAGGAATACATTAAAATAGTTTTTATGCTGTTTTCAAAAGTTACTTCGTTTCTTGAATATTGTGGAGACGTCCTTTTTCATGCAGTACTTCAAGCAATCTTTTACGCTCAGAAGTTGCTTTCTTAAAACGCTTTCTCAGATCATTATTTTCACGAACGTAATGAGTAAGAGCTACGACAATGCCGCCAAAAATTGCCACAACAATAACAGTCATGTAAGACTCGTATCCCCCTTTCTCGTCTTTTAATTTTACTGCTTCTTTCTCATCTCCAAACTCCTCTGCCAATTGCTCGCAGCTGTTGACTACAACGCGTCCTGTCGTGATGACATAATTTTTTCCTTCTGAAATCGTTTTGGCTTGATGGATCTCTTGGAAATCGAAAGTAAATTCAGTTCTAGTCTTCTTCATCCCGTTCTGAACAACTATTTCCATTTTAACGTCGACTCCAGGGCAACATTTTTGAAAGATTTCAGATGACCCTTCATAATCGCTTCGAGCTCCACAAGTGGCTATCGCCGTAGTTCGCCAAGAAGTAACAAGGGCAAATATGACAACATTGATATCCATTTTGTTGATGTGTTGAAAAGTAATATCGTACACGCGTGGAACAACCTTCCTCTGACTCTGTCTATTTCGACTATTGCACGCACGCATATATATACACAGTGATGTTTATCATATATGCAAGCCATTGAAGGTTTTCAAGATTCCGGAAATTGTCAAGTAGATAACTTAATTATCTTAATTCTTTCCCTTAATTCTTTCAGTCCTTTGACCTGACTTGTATGAAAGCCTATCATTAAGTGCCTAACATGCACTTTTAAAGGGGCATCCTTCCGTCGCTACACCTTAGACGAATATTTTGTGAAACACACGACGCTGCAATTTGTGAAACAAGCAATCTTGTGATTCTCAATTCTGTGCAAATTTCTATAAATACTAGAACAGGGGTGGTGCCAGAGGAGGGCTCGTGGGGGGGGGGCTACAGCCGGCAACTCCTCTGTCGTGGAAATTTTTACAATTCGTCGGGGAATGAACGACAGATATAATCTGAAATTCGATTGTTGTTTTTTAATTGAAACATTTGCAGTCAGCACTCAGCACTTAGGAGTCTAGCTTCCAGACCCCCTGTCGGGACCTTAGCACGGCTGTGTCGGGGAATTTTGGCGCCCTTGACGTAAAATGTAAACCAGTGACTGATGCCGCTTATTAACCCCGGCCCATAACGATATTATCCTTTGTGGCATTATATCCTTTGTGGCACACTGAATAATTTTAGTTTCATGACTAACTATTATATTATTCTTTCGTGTAGTGTAGGGCGCGTGGAGTGCCGTGGACGTATATAGTATGGTTCATATAATTATATTGAAAATAGTTCTGCATTTATTAAAATTCCTAAGCCTTGGTGATAATCTGTTATATTGTAATGCGTGCATGGCCTAATATCGTAAAACGTTTTAGAAACACAAATATTCAAATATTCAAAGTCAACCATGCACTCTAAATAAATGGGTGGCAACCGATAAATACTTGAAGTATAGGAAACAAAGATGTCGTACATGTTTGCTGGTAGCTAGGATTACATATATATGACCTATATGAAATTAGATTTTACATCTCTTCCCTAACTTTTCTTGTAAAATAAATTTATTCATCAAATTTTTATTTATAATTTTACATCGAAAATCCCTTTAAATCTATTTATTGACCTCTCTACCTGCAAAATTTAAAAGATACAGTACGAGCAAGTATTCCACATTCGTGAAAAAAAAAGAATTCCAAACGAATTTAATTTCGCCGCGAAATTACCGCACTATGTCGATTTTTGGAGGCGTGTACTAGCTTATAGTGCTGATCAAAAGAAGGAATTATATATATATATATACACTCACAAGAGCGTCGTGAGCTATGGCTATGAACTAAAAGCTCTTTCATGCTCGTCAACAACCGTTTCAGCGAGTTTCCCATGCAATCCCATCTAAATATTTCTGGTATTGTGCGTGAACCTTACGTAACAACAATTAAGAATTGATTGTGACCAATATACGAAAATGTGACATTCACTTTAAAAATCATCAACTCTAATCCTTTTTATTAGACGTGAAAAATTTTGGTGTGGCGTTTTGCCGGCAAACCTGTAAGTATCGCGTCAAAATGTAGGCTGCAGATGCATAAAAATCGTACTCCTAGCAACCATTGAGTATGTTGTTGGCAAGTCGTGAGTCCTTCGCTGATTGCAAGGTTCGTTTTGTGAAGGACTTGAGGGCAAGTGCCCCGGAAAGGCACTAGAGCTCAAGTCCTTAAAATTTATCGTTTTAAAAAAAGTACTCCTTGCCAATTCTACGATTGTTTTGAAGTGGGAATGAATTTATGCAAAACTATTTATTGCTATAACATCGTTACGATAAGATAATCTTCAGTATAATTTTAAGCAGTGAGTATCATCCAACTTTCAGCGCGCGTAGCAAATATTTGTGTTTAAAAAAACGTATTCGTTTCTTAAATGTTGTGGAGGAATCTCAGTTTCTGACTCGGTTCTTCGAGACACGCTGCTCCCTGGTTATAGCTATATATAGCTATATTGAGACAAAAACCTAAAATAGTTTTTTGAATAGTTTATCACCACTAAAGACCCATACTTGAAACTTTCATAGACTTTTTAATTGTTTTTCATACAAGATAAATCAAGATACACTATGAAGACATACTATAGTTAATTTTTTCAAATTACTACTATTTTCATTTAACGTCTATGTCACTATGTCCTTATAAAGCCATACACTGTTGAGGGATGTGGGTTTATGCAGTTCTAATAAATCTCATAACTTGTTTCTTGGATATTATGGGGCTTTCCCTTTTCAGACAGTTTTTCTCGCAATTTCTCGCGCTCTTTCACCGCTTTCTTTAAACTTTTTTTGAGATCATTATTTTCACGAACGTAGAAACGAAGCATCATACCAACAAGGAACATCGCAGCAACGATAATGGCCAGATTTGTCATCTGTTCATAATATTTCTTCACAAACGAGTCTTGCATCGTTGAAAAGCATTCTTTTATAGCTTCATACTTGCGTAAGATTTCAGATTGCTCGTCCAACATCTTTCGTTTGCCACAAAAAACTGTAGTCGATGGCCATAAAACCAGGGCAAATAAGAGCAGCACGCTAGCGTGAAAAACATAAAATTGATTATAAAAATGTGGTGCAAACTAGGACCCGATACCTACAGGAATAATGAAAGTAATCACCACACAAATATTGCATTTACGAATCAATGTTTCGACACTCCGATCTAGTGTCTTCATTAATTGGGAGTGATCTGATGACGCAATCTGCCAATCAGATGTTAATATTCTTTTGGCAAGTAGCTTCCGTCATCCCCATTTAGGGCACAGAGACTGCACTCATATCAAGGCTTTCACCCTATAAACGTGAACATTTGAGTAAGCTAGTATCCAGTGCCCCGCACTGCAATTATGCGCGCCATTCAATATAAATATGGCGGACAGACCAAAGCGCACATTGCGACAGCCGAAGCGTTTAGCTGATGAGTGCGCAGTTGTTTCAACAAAGTGCACAAAAAAACCAAAGAAGGACAACAATCTGTATGAGATTGAAGTCATAAGTTTGCCCATGCTGCCGTTCCATGTCGGTTAATAGCGAATAAATCAAATAGCTATAACAATTTATATAATCAATATGCAATGAATTAATTAACAATGAAATATGTATAAGCCGACGGTACTAAAATCTGCCGCAATGCGCAAATCGACTTGTAAATAATGAATATATTCTTCATACTTGCTTACATGGACCATGGTGTACGAACGAAGGCAGAGCTTCAGTCGAAGATTCTCCTCCAGCATTTGGTCCCACTGCTTCAGCTAGCTTAGTAGATATTGTAATCACCAAGAGCAAAATATAGCCTAGCTTCACACTCATTTTGACGGACTTATTTCACAAAATAATACATCAAACTATACTTAAAAATGTAGCGAATTTCACACAGAATTTGATTTTCGCGGGGTCGAGCGCCATGGGCATGCGCAAATGGGCTCTAGAGCCCATTTTCCTGAGCCTATGACGCGCGCCTACTATAAATTACTATTAAATATTTGCGCAATTGCCTCTAAACAAACCAAAAGTGACGGGCTTTGTTTTCATATTTTGTTGGCTAAAATACAATCAAAAGACGTTTGAAAGCCTATATTTTACTATTTTGATGGGGTCCGAATGCAATTCTTTATGAATAAGGAACAAGAGCGAGGTAAGTGCAAAATTTTGCCCTATGTTGGGGCAGAAATTGTGAAATATGAAGCCGTGAAATATGAAACTAGTTTTTGTTAAGCCTAAGTGATCAAAGAGCATACTAAAATTAGTGCAAATGCCAAGTTTGGCTGCGAATTGTTGTACATTACGGGAAATATAGCCATGCGAAGTTGACGAATTTTTATATACTTTTGTATTACTGACGGAAGTTTGTAACTAATTTAGTTACACATTTCCGCACGTAATACAAAAGTATACAAAATATGCCAACTTCATATTGCCATATTTTCTGTATTTTACAAAATTTCGCAGCCAAACTTGGCATTTGCACTAATTTTAGTATGCTCTTTCTAGCTGTGGTAATATATTTTCTTCTTGTTACTTCGATCAAAAACTAGTCTAAAGCGCAAGTCGTCCATTGAAATCACCCATAACAATGCAATTGTTAGAGTTTGAATTCCTAAGCACTCTGTTGGGATAATATCACAATAAACACTCGTTGTTCCGCGGTCAGCTGTACCATTTCATTTCGAAGCAATCACAAGGCTAATTTAAATTTAATCATATTCACAATTTTTCATATTTAGCATTTTATAAGTTGCATTAAATCCCCACGGGCTAAAATTCGTGAACACGGCATTCAAATTTTAACAACGAGTGATTTCAATAGTTTTTGTTTTTTGAGACTCCCTGTAGATCGCTGACAAATTACAATGGCCTTGGATTAATTGACCTTTGTTTGAACGATAAGAACATGTGATGCCTTGTTTACATGCAGGGCCGTAGCCAGACCACTTAATTGGGGAGGGGGGGGGTGTAGATTCATATATTCATGTTTATATACCGTAGGAACAATAGCGTACAAAAGAAATCAGTCAGGCATAAGACGAATATATTAATATCACACCCCCCCAATTTAGCTTCTAGCTACGGCCCTGTTTACATGAAGCGAGTTAGGCAAGACGAGGTAAAGGGAATCATATCACCTAGCCGGGGTAAATCACTCTGGGTAAACAGCCCTTAGCCAATTGAAATTTGAAAAATATCGGCCCCAAAACCCGAAGCCCAATGTCAAAATATTTCCGATAAAAAAGCCATTTTTTGAGTATCTGCCGCAATAGAAGCGTTCCGAAAGATATCAAGCAATTCTTTGCTCAAATTTATCAGTTGGCTTATGGAGTTCATCAAATTATTCAATTATTTTGACTTTCTTAACTTCCGGTTTCGAATTGTTAATCATATGCGTCTATTTATTGATTCATGGCGCAGCCTGCAGCACAACACTTTTCACTCCTGATGCGACAACCTAATCAAATTTTGGCTGTTTATGTTGATAGAATTTTATAATTACAAGAATACATACCTTTTCATTCTTGTAATTTGAAGCATATGAGGACTTTCTACTTGGCTGACCTTTTCTTTTAATGACAGCGGCTCATGAATAATTTTGAAAACAAATCCCGACCGAAAATAACACATACTTGACATGGGTGCTGATGGATTGTAATTTGTGTCCGCACTGCTACCACCTTATTGAATGAATTTATTATTACGCCCCATAACAAGAGTTCAAAATTGCAACAACAGAGACAAATAAACACCTAACATGGCATAAAAGAGAAGTATTTTGTTCAAATGCCATTTACAGTAACAGGTTGTATACATAACAAATGCATAACACCAGTATCATTAATTATTAATATTTCAATATGTCCGCTTTCAGTGCATCTCAAACGCTAATATCATAGTTTGGCCAGAGAATTTGCGAGTTTTTCTTTGGATTTTACATTGATCTTTATAAGCTGTTTGAATAGCATTCTAAAGATATACTTTAATGTCGTATTGGCTAACACCAACATAAGTCTTCCTCACGAGTGCACAAAGGCTCGCAGGTCGCACGTCATCAACTTCCAAGAAATCACATGCTCTCGAGTCTCGTGCTCTCCATCGCGTGTACGGGTGCGTGCAGTCAACTTCTCAAGTATCGTAATGCAGCAAACGTTGATAGAACACAAGTGCCTTTGATGACATTTAACATTAACAACTATTTTGACACCTAATTAGGCATATTACATCACAATTAGCGTTTCCCAGTGGTGGCCAGTCCCCACTTTGCAATAACAAAATTTTAAAATTTCAACAATAAGTGATTTCAATAGTTTTCGTTTTTTTGAGACACCCTGTAGAGAACAATACAATAGAGCAATGATGGAATCGACTCATTTTGTTTGCTCGGGGTAAAACCCTAATTAAGAAAACCTTTCGAAAATGTTCAGGATCGATTACGGAAACATTTAAGTTTGCGTCCCTGGAAATTTCAAAACAGGATAAATCGTGAATTTTAATGTACTAGACCACCTTAAGCCTGGATAAAATTAATTCATATTAGTGATATTTACAGCTGGTAATTTGGAAGATCATTTGATCTTGCTTAAGCTTAGAACCGTGATTCTAATCTATTTTGTTCAAATTTGTGAAGAGAAGGTAATAAAAATTGCCCTCACAAAATTTGTTTAGCGCAGTATCAAAATAAGAACATGTGTATAAAATTGAGAGTTTGTATAAAATTGTGACAAATATTATTTGCCGTATATATAAACAAACACGCCAGACTTCAGTAATATGTATATAACAACCTCGCAAGCCAGGCTCTTTTACCTACGCTTCTCGCGACCCACGCTGCGGCAAAGAAGTGACTTTTGCGCTCTTTGTGTTCCACCCCATCCCCACACAGGATAAACCTAACGAAAGGATCACATGACCAGCCTTGACCAGGGTCTTTGCCGCAGCGTTGGCCGCGAGAAGCGTGGGTAAAAGAGCCTGGCTTGCGAGGTTGATGTATATAATACGTCCACGTTCCCCAAGCGATAAGCAATACGGAGTGTATATAATTTACCGTATAATCCGCCAGTGCTTAAGTCTGCTTTATACGGCAAACTTATCAGTTGAAACGAAGTTTTTGAATTTCATAACATGATATCATACGATGTTATAGTTGTTCAATAAGCTTTTAAGAAAAAATATAGCCCATGGGGTGAATTTCATCAAAGCCTATGCTTTTTACGACTCCCACTGTGCAATATTGTTTAAATGTATGGCCTATTATCTCATGCATCGCGAAAAAGACAAGAACCAATTGAACGCAAAACTGCAGGTGCCTTCTTAATATAGCTGTACATAACTCTACGTACAGATCATTTTTGCCACCTTTCACTTTGTGTTGTGTACATAAATCGATGTTAATAACTGATCATGTTTTGTGCAAGTTATTTTATCGTGATCTTATTCACCATCGCCTTTTGGCAAACGACATCAATAGCTGCTGGCCAGGAAACAACAGCTGATGACAAGGGAGCTGAGATCTTCGGCAAATATCACACCAGCGTAGTCACAGTGAAAAGCAGTCTTATTAAACGAACAAAACAAGTTACTGACAGGAGCCGGATTTATCATGGATTCATTACTCCAGGAAACCAGCGCGAATTCGAAGAAAAACAAAGTCCTCGTCGTAATTACAGCTGGCCACGTTCTTAGAGGCGCCTACAAAGTCAATGTGTTATTATACCAGAACGAGAAAGACGTCACTAATGGAAAATGGAAAACGCAAGAATGCCAGGAAATTGTTCATGGTTTTGACGTTGTAAGAGACGTTGCTATGCTATCAATTGTCTGTGACAGAGAGTGTGATTGTGCTGACTTCAAAGTCTTGAATCGTCGCCGCTCCAAAGTGTCTGAGGGAGAACTTGTACACATCATCGGCGATTCATCAGGCAGGCTAATACCTCATTCGACTGTAGACGGAAGGCTTTCGTCGACAAATATTACCTTCGCACCAGCTACTGCAACTTACAAAAACATAAATGGGCATCTCGCCGAAACAACATTCGCTAGCAGGGTGCACACATTAACTGGCAATATAAATAAAGGAGATTCAGGGAGTGCCGTGATTGACAAAGCTGGTAATGTGATTGGAATGATCTTGGGTACCAGTGGAGATGTCAAATATTGTATTACAGTGCCAGAGATTTTTAAAGCATATGAACAAATTTTAGATGCAAAAATTCCTCGATTTGTTGGCTGCACTTCTCATGAATCAGTGCTTCTTGGAAAGATGTACTGGGGAGACAGCTCTGGGAAAAGTATTCAAGAAATGGATGCGATCGCAACTGCAGTAAACGCTCGATACATAGCAATCGCCCACGACGGTGTGCAAGCCCACGCTTTCACATTCCATGCTCCGTGGTGGGAAATATTATCAGGCGAATATGATATATACGAAGACGATTCAGAGTGTCTCTGCGAAATGAATTCATTTTCGGACGGCCGATTTCTTCAGCCGACTAAAGATGGCAAAGTAATGTGCGGATGTTCCGAAAACGCTTGCAGGAAGAAAGAACACTATGAGCGAAGATTTGGCGAGGATAATGATCGTCGCTGGGCGGTATATCAACGAGAGACCGCGAACAAAGAGAAACCTGGACATTATGTTGCAAGCAAAGAATCTCTCTTAGTTATGCGTGACCTAGCCAATGAGATTGCTTATTGGAAGGAAAAATTCATTAAATATTCGGATTTTGTACAGATGAAAATTAAAAACGAAACCGAACAGATGGGCAAATGTGAGAAAAGGGCAGATGGGATGAAAAATGAAAAAGAAAAATACAAGACATATCTGGCTATTGCTGTTGCTGTGGTCGTATGCTTGATTGTAGCTCTTTTTCTTCACGTTCGTGGAAATAATGACCTTGAAAAACGTTTGAAAGAAGCGACTACCGAGTTTGAAAGATTGAGGGCGGAACTGGCTGAAAGAGAACCGTTTCAAGATATTCAAGAAGCAAATTAAACTGAATTTTGATGGTAACCGTACATTTTAATACTAATACCCCTCTTGCTAATAACCTCGCTAATAACACTATTTTTAATGCTAATAACCCCTTGTTAATTACCTCGCTAATTTTCTTTTATATCGAAGTATAGCACTGATTGCCAACTCCCAAGCTAATATCATTATACAATTACTTAATGGTTTCCGTGTTTGGATGGCCTGATCCAAACACGCGGGAATGTTGCGAGAGTTAAGAAAAGCGCGCGAAACACGAGCCGAAAATTGTCTTATAAAATAACAAACCATAATAAATTTGCTTTTAAATTCTCGCGAAATTTCCGTGTTTGGATGGCCTGATACAAACACGGGCTTCAACCAATCAGAACACGCGTTATATACATGTTATTTTATAAAATCATATACTAACATGATGGAGTAAACATATAAAATACAAAGGAATTGACCTCGTCCACGACATCTACTTAACTCTTGAGTCCTGAAAAAACATTTTTTAATGAAACACGTATTTCGCTTATTCTGATATGCATGTATAACAACACTTTCATAATTTATTTTCTCTATCAGATTTTTTTGCTCGCGCAAAACCGCGATGTGCCGCCCGTGGTGGCTAGGAATATGTACAGCGGCCGCCTGCATAAGCTGGAATAAAATGAGTTCAATATGTTAATGTACGTCTACCCTCAGTCGAATTTTCACACTTTTAATCCAACCTAAAGTTTTTTATAGAGTTTTCCTTTGGTCTTCAGCTCAAGACGAGTGTACGAGATTGTAAATTTTCAGTTTAAATTTGCTTCAAACGAACAATTAAATTCCAAACGCTGTTTCGAGGTTAGTCAGCAATCAGGGACATCATCACCTCCTCCTTTATTTGTACTACGAATATGTACAGCGGCCGCCTGTATATATAAGCAGGAATAAAATGAGTTCAATTTGTTGCGCGTCGATCCCCAGTCTCTTAATGCATTTTCACATTTTTACTCCCACGTAATGTTCAGTTTGATAGAATTTTTATTTTGGTCCTCATAATCTCAAATGTGTGTTGATAATAAAGAAACAATGTTAATTAATGTTAAGTAAGCACTTCATAGTTCAATCTTACAATATAAGATATATAACTATTACAATATAAGTGTCTCAAGTGATCATGCAAACATGGAGATGTTCCTTCATTGGATTTCAAAAAGACTTATAAATTGTTTCTAGAACATTATGAAATTTTTCCTTTTCAGAGAGTTCTCTTTCAGTCAGTTCTTCTCGCAAAATTTCTTGCTCTGCGATCGCTTCCTTAAACTTTTTTTCAGAACATTATTTTCATGAACGTCGGAAAGAACAACCACAACAACAGGCGAGACTACAGCAACAAAAATTATCAAGTTTCAATCCTAATGCAGTGTATACGTCTCTATAAGAAGCACTCATTAGAATTTTAAGAATCCTTCTTATATAGTCTCTGATACCACCACGGGTTTACCAAACATCCACGCTTGGCTTTGCCGTCTTCGGTTTCCTGCCAAAACTCTGCCATTCGCAAATGAATACAATTAGCAGAGCCATTGA